AAAACTTATTGGGTGTGTGGGCAGTCTGCAGATGGGGAGCTTGGAAAAAATATTTACATATGCTAAACTACGCGTGTAAGTTTCTACCTTGATAGAACACCAATATTTTATTAGGTTCTAAATATAAACACGTCTGGTGATATGCCTTGGTATATTTTAAATTGTCCACCGTGAGTAATTGCTCAACAAGAATGAAAGTAATTACCATTATGTTACCATATTAAATGTGCAACAAAGGAAATTAACATAATATGAATGGTTATTTGTGACTTTAACTTAGAGAAGAGTGACAAGAAGAAAAACGTTTTCTACAACATGACATGTGTCACGAAATTGATTGGAATATTAAAATTGTGTGAAATGTGTAGGTTCTTTGGCCTATATGACGTTTGAATTTCAGAATGGCAAGATGTTTTAATGGTAGAAGGTAGCGACCACGCAAAATGATTGTTCAGATATCGTGAAGCAAGTTTAGTTATTTTTTGAAAGTCGTATCAACAATACAATTATTAAACTTGAATCGAAATTCAATCAAGTACATATACAGTAGATATATATATATATATATATATATATGATATGAATTTTATTCAGTACAAGGGCCTCAGGTCTATGGTACAATAAATCAAAAATAGAAAAATACATACAGAGGGATTCTATTAAATAATTGTTGAATCTATTAGTCACAACTGGTTAAGTAGATTGACTCTGTGTTGAGAAGCATGGAATACAAATTTCGCAATTTGAAGTACAGATAAGTTGTCAAACTGCATTAAACGAAGAAATTGTTCGTAAGTCTGATATACTATATATATATAGTATATCCGATATTATTGATTGAAATATATTTTAAGTTTGACTTAAAAAATATAAATATCCAGTATAAGTATATATCTAATGATTGAAATGTTTTACTTAAAATAGAAATGCATTTCGCAAATCGTTGCAATAATTTTTGTCCAGGTTTGGTTTGTTTAATATAATCGAATTTCGTTCTTTTATTTGTGTTTCAATAATAAGTACACGTATATTAAACTGCAACAAAATGTACCATACTTTTATAACACGCAAACATAGTGACAGTTACCAACGTAACAGGAAGCGTACATATCTGTTATAAAGAGAAGAAATACTTTGCTAAGCAACAGAAAATCACTTACCGGGCTTGCGTGGACAAAACACAAGTAAACAAGACAAACACAAATGCAGATTTCTTTGCTGCTGGAAGACATATTGAAACTGTTGTGGAGTACAAATCGTGCGGGGAGTATGATATGCTACTCTTATATAAGAACAATCAACCAATCAATTTGCTTCTCCGAATCACGTGACATTACTAATCTTCACGTCACACCGTGACTGCGATGAGAGGGAAGTTACGCATTGCTTGGGACACCAAGTCATCTTGATTTAAGAGGAAATTCCATCTGCCGAAAATAATCTCAAGGGTTCCATTCAATTATAATTACACCGACAAATATGCCTTTCATGAGTTAATTAATTGATAATGACATTATTTTTCTTAAAAGGAAGGTTGATTGAAAAATGCCAGGTGTGTGGTTTATAATTCGAGAGAATAACTGAAGTCAATATACTAAACAATTGTCTCAGTCACATTGGTGTTTAATTAATTTAGACATACTTCACCAAATTACCAATTCCTTATGCATATTTCTACGTAGAGCTTTCATTTCTGGTCGCTGTCGCCGCGGTGTATAATCGACTGTTGGGACGTTAAAGCGCGCGTAATATTTTGTTCGACTTTGCCGACAGCTCGTTGGCTCCTTAAACGATGATGACGTGGTTGATAACGTACTCAGACTAACTAAACCACGTGATCAATCGAAAGCCGGTTTATAGTCATTACTCGTAACCATGTAGTTGTGTTTTTTTTCGTTCTCAATAGCGAAGATATCACCGAAAACAGTGCAGCGTTTCATCATTGTGTTTTGTTTGCACACGAACATGGAACAGTAGAAATATGAAATTTTTGAAGTTTTTAACGAATGTTTAGCTGAAACCGCTTGACCAAATCATAGAATTGTTCCATGTATCAAGGAAGGTGTGAACATAATTTTGATTGAGTTTACGACAGAGACGATTTTTGTACTACTGTCATCAGTGATAAATGTTAAATGTACAGTATGATGTTCGATTTCGTTATATTACCCGGTCGTCATTGTTAATTGACTTCTTGGTTAGTCTGATATATTAAAATACCAATGCAGTATTCAGTTGAGGAGATCAAGTGAATGAAAGAGACAACTAACAAGTGAATGAAATTTGACATTTTGAGTAATCTACATAAACATAACTGACATGACGAAAATAATCAAATACATTCTCACTGCAATCGTTCCGATTTATAGAAACATATATACGATGTACTAATAGGAATACGTATATTTATTGTAGACGTGCAATGTAAACACGTGACCTATCTTCTTTATTTAGTTTATTGCCGATCATAACACTTTATTTTACCCTTTAGAGTCATTACAAGCATAATTCAATAATAATCATCGAGCACGAGCTTCCGATATATTTTTTTATTGAAGTCATTTGCTAAAGGTATATATAATCACAAATGGAATCACTCAAAGGACGCGTCTCAAACCGTACTTAATTAATAAAGTTATTTGATGCTCTCATTCAGTGTGGAATCCGCTACGCCCGCTTCCATCACCTGTTCGCACCTGTTGACCCAAATCGACCTAGTTGAGAACGTACGTAAGAGGACGTTATATTTAAAATACACGCCGCGATAAGTTACATTTATTAGAAATTAAATGTCGTGTAGCCATGTATCGAAAAGCAATGTAATTGAGAAACCAAGAACAGTGTTTCAAATTGTATCATATATCTCTTTCCTTTGGTGATAATTTTGACTTTACGGTTTGTTTGAATTCCACAAAATATACTTCGCTCGTTGCGTACAATATGAAGGCATTCTTAGATTCGCAGCCATTTTATATGTTAACACATTTAATATTTAATATTTTAACTCATCATATTTTAACCTATTTCATATTGTTTACACATTTTACATTTTAACTTCAAGGAAGTATTTTTATTTTCTATACATTGATTAAGAATAATTAATCTTCATGTTTTAGACTACATGTATGCATAAAGTGCATTCATTTTCAAGGAATGCTATGATATTGTCAATCCGTCATCCTGAGGTTGACACGATGATTGACACAATTTATTATCGATGAAATTACGGCAGATGGAAATTGAATTCTTGAAAGGATACTAATAATATATATACAAAAAAGGTGATTGATTTACTTCAGAACACAGGTTAGCCTGTTACATATATTCTATTGCTCAATGTTCATATATTTCGAGGCACTTGTATCGTAAGGGCTCATAGAGTTATAATCAATCCCCATTTGCTACGGTTGATAGTGTGTTTGGGTACTAAAACCTCAAATACCCACCGTATAAATAAATTCAACAGGAAAACAATTCCACAAGATGATAATAAACAAGAAAAACATAATAAAATAAAAACATGACGCGACCATTACCTACCAGTACGTTTAAGGGTGCGAATTACATTAGATTGCAATGATATAACAAGGTTTCAAAAGTATTACCGTGGTAACTATTACTTAATATTCACACTTATTGACAAGACATATTATAAGGAGGTTCGAGTCGAATTGAAGATTATATGTCATGTTTATCGAACGTTATTACAGACTCGTGCCATCAGCATACCAACAATTTAAATGAGGTCATCAAACACGTTTTTAAGATACAAGAGTCGACATTGTCATTTTTCACTGGTTTCCATGGTGGGAATATTTCTTTATATTATGTATCAAAAGTTGTGTATTGTTATTGATACCAGTTCTAATAATGTTAACACATTAAAAAAATGACACATAATTTAGTTTTCAGAGTGATAATTGTTCCATGCGCAATGGGAAGTTCACAGGAATTGTACCAGTAGACATAGGATATGTAATTTGCATAGTCGCCTAGTTGTTTACTTAGTCCGCAGCAGTTATTGCTACGCGTACTACGGCTCGAGCCAGCAAAAATGACCGTGTATACGCGTTCGGCTCGAGCCAAGTTCGGTTCCAATAAATCCTCGGGTTTCAACTCCGATAGGGTTAAGCCCCGACACGGCCCCGACCTTGTATACGCACCGGGGACAAACTATCGGGTCGAATTCACGCCCCCAATCGTCTTGTTTGAGTAACCTCTCATTTCAATTATGGCGGAGACAACCTCATTTGTAATTTCGCGTAATTTCTGGCTTGAGGTACGCGCCCTAATATCTATTTAGCAGAATAAAGTAATACAGCCTTAGATTGATAGCTCAATGGGAAAGAGAAAATGACGTACGAAATTATGGTCCAACAGGTCCAATGGAAATTTAAGAAACTTTTTTTTAAAAACACCGAAGATAACAATTGTAGATTCGGTGACGGTGACGTGTTCCTACTAGGTTTAGGTTGACAACTTTTACACATATTACAACAGTTGAACAATTACAAGATGGTAATTTTGCATGACAATAATCGAATAGGCTGCAACACATTTAGCGTATATTAGCTGTTGCGTTTCTTGTTTATTTTTAACACCAGTACATTGACTCAGAACTGTTTGTTTTACCTCCCAGCTCAACAGCATCGTGCCATGTGAAGAAGCAACAACACAAGCACAACACCAAAATCGTTTTCAGCCATGTTGTTTTCACACTATAATTATTTGACGGCGCTGTTCTGTTCGGCTCTGACCGAACTGAATCGAACTCTGGCAGATCTCGAATCTCGTTCAGCTCCGACCGTGTAAACGCATTGGAGATAATCTCCTGTTAATCGGTGGGAGGAACAGTAATGACATCCCTTATTTTGTATTATATTCCTGGTTGAAAAAGAACCCAATACTATATCATTAAAGTTAATAAATTATAAACTAGTTCCGGTATCCAAAGTATTTTTTTTTCGGAATTCAAAACTATAGATAGCAATTTAGCAAAGTTATAGGGTGCACGGACGTACTACATATATAGTACATCCATGGTTATGTTGAACAATATGTTTTTTCCCCAATAAGATTTATACAATGTGATTGCAATGTATTATGGGTAATCTTGCAACACATCGTAATCTCACAACACATACAAACGAGAGACCACGTGACACGGGAAGCAAATAAATAACAATATAAATGATTTATGGTTGATTTATTTCATAAAACTTCATATCATATAATGCAATAAATGTTTGTGTGACGGAAATGTGTTATTGGGAGCCGCCGTCTTTCGTTCTCCGTCACAGAAATATTTGCTTCACATGGATCGCTAGAGAAAACGCCACCAACGTCTGAATAGGTTTCATTGATAATGACAAGACACAGAATTCACACTACTACAGGGAGCCACCACTGAACAATAAAGTAGTAGTAAATTATGCGCATGCCGTGATACAGTTCTTCAAAGTTCTCGAACGTTGGTGGCGTTTGATTGTACTCTGCAGTCGTATTTCTAAATCTCCTCGGAGTATATGCTTATCGTGGCCACTAGATGGCGTCATTTTCTAGATATCTTATATACTGGTATATCATCTCAGTAGACCAAGTTTCCTACGTTTTCTTCCAGGTTACTTAGCATGCCAGGTGATCTGTATTGACACACGACATAGAACTTGTCGTAGTACTGCTTTGGTTCGATGGCCACGCCGCAGCCAAGTTCCACGCTTTCTTTCCAGACAACCTGGGCAAAATGACCTGAAACAAAACAAGAAAGCGATAAGCAAATACGTTATATACGAGACATGAAAACTGTCGACAATTTAAGTCACCATTGTACAGACTCATTAGCTCTTATTGGTCAATTAACTTGAACCATTTTCGTGTTTCAGTCTTCCGTGGTATTTTTGTCAGAGTACGTCGTCATGTCCGCCATGTTTGTTTATTTATTTTGTGAATATGCATGGACTGGTAACTGAGCATTTTGTGAGCTGAGTGAGCCCACAAGAATATCATGTGACCAAATACGTTTGCAATACTCCTGTAACTCACCATTACTCGGATTTGTCTGTGGAAAGTTGAAATCATAAGAGGCAATTTCAGAGTACCAAGATTCGACTGGATATCTTCCTGTAAAATAATAAAAAGAAACGTTTTAAATAATATGAATAGTATCGCTTGATTTTCTATTTACGGTAACACTGGTTTATCCTTCTTATTCTTAATATAATCTGGTGTGTGTTAATACTACATCCTCGCTTATGTACATGCCGATAGCTACTAGAATGTCGGGGGTATTCGTGTCTCGGAGTGAAAGACATTATGAAAAAAAATAAGACATTTTGGTTCTAAAAGCATTGGTGTCTTTTTACAAACCGTGACTCCAAAAAGAGATCGCGATTTTTACAATCGCGTGCAGCACTTTATTAAGTGAACTATAGTCGTTATCATTTGCGATACATGCGTCATATTTACCATAGAAATCTTCGGTTTTGGGGAACTTCCAGGCATCGCCAACGGTCAGGATATTTTCACCACGATCGGGCGGGTTCTCCCCTCTGTCGCTGTGGAAAGACGACCCCGCAGATTTCAGATTCTCAGCCCATTCTTGTGCAAATTGGTTAAGATCTGACTTCATCGTCATTGAGGGACTGCCATGTAAGCACCGGAAGTAGTCATGGGAATTCAATATCTGCTGTCGAAGCTCATCAAGACCACTGTTTGATTTGACATTGCCTGTTTTATCGCAGCAGTAACCAGGAGCTGAATCACAAAGCTCGTCGTCTGAGCCATCGTTACCATTACTATTACCATTATTCTGTCCCTGTCCAATTCTGCTGTCTCCATTAGTACCATCCGTACTTCCACTTGTCGTTCCACCAGTGTTTCCGCTTCCGGTTCCACCAGTGTTTCCGCTTCCGGTTCCACCAGTATTTCCGCTCTGTACTGGTTGCGCACCTAGAATTAGAGGGAAGAATACACTAATAGAAATGATCCACCATATTGAGCTTTCCACTAATATATATACATGTATTTTTTTTTTATCAAATCATTTTTTAACTCGAAAGAGTTGGCAGATAAGTTGGCTATTTTTAATACATTTTACGGATCAGCTTATATGTATGTTGAGGAAGGGCACAATTTCCTTAAAAAATCACCTAGAGCATCTGCAAATATAGTCATCTTATGTTGTTTTTTCTTTATGCTCGTCACGTACCTTGACATCCACTTTGTGCCAATATCTGAGCAGAGCAGCCAATCTCGTCAGCGCAGTTACCACAGTCATTCCGTCCATCACATTGCGCTGTTAATGGTCCCACACAATGGAGCTCAGAACAGAATATATAGCCAGATGGGCAGGTACCGTCACGGAGGGTGGGAATTGCTGATAATAAAATCAGATAACAATATTACAGTTCTACTAGAAGTTTCGACTATATCAGCTGATACTTCTATATATTGTGTAACTATGTATTCTCTTTTGCCAATCAATCAACCCCCAATCTGTCTATCAGTGTGTTCGTCAATCCATCAATCAATAATCACTCCATTAAATCAGCCACTCGAATGGTTGATCACTTTCGAGTTACACTCAGCGACTAGAATACAACTAAACACCATTTGAGTAAATCAATCAACAAAATAGATATACCCAAATTGGCAAATAAACTACTCGCACATTGTTGTACATATTACGGTATGTGAGCTACCTTATAACAAATGTGTGTGTGAACTACCTTGTACCAAAAGTGTGTGTGAACTACCTTGTACCAACAGTGTGTGTGAGCTACCTTGTGTCAAAAGTGTGTGTGAGCTACCTTGTACCAAAAGTGTGTGTGAACTACCTTGTACCAAAGTGTGTGTGAGCTACCTTGTACCAAATGTGTGTGTGAACTACCTTGTACCAAAAGTGTGTGTGAGCTACCTTGTACCAAATGTGTGTGTGAACTACCTTGTACCAAATGTGTGTATGAGCTACCTTGTACCAAATGTGTGCGTGAACTAACTTGTATCAAATGTGTATGTGAACTACCTTGTACCAAAAGTGTGTGTGAGCTACCTTGTACCAAATGTCTGTGTGAACTACCTTGTACCAAAAGTGTGTGTGAACTACCTTGTACCAAAAGTGTGTGTGAGCTACCTTGTACCAAAAGTGTGTGTGAGCTACCTTGTACCAAATGTGTGTGTGAACTACCTTGTACCAAAAGTGTGTATGAGCTACCTTGTACCAAATGTGTGTGTGAACTACCTTGTACCAAATGTGTGTGTGAACTACCTTGTACCAAAAGTGTGTGTGAGCTACCTTGTACCAAATGTGTATGTGAACTACCTTGTACCAAAAGTGTGTGTGAACTACCTTGTACCAAAAGTGTGTGTGAGCTACCTTGTACCAAATGTGTGTGTGAGCTACCTTGTACCAAATGTGTGTGTGAACTACCTTGTACCAAAAGTGTGTGTGAACTACCTTATACCAAAAGTGTGTGTGAACTACCTTGTACCAAAAGTGTGTGTGAACTACCTTGTACCAAAAGTGTGTGTGAACTACCTTGTACCAAAAGTGTGTTTGAACTACCTTGTACCAAAATGGTGTGCGAACTACCTTGTACCAAAAGTGTGTGTGAACTACCTTGTACTAAAAGTGTGTGTGAACTACCTTGAACCAAAAGTGTGTGAACTACCTTGTACCAAAAGTGTGTGTGAGCTACCTTGTACCAAATGT